GGAGGAAAAAGAAAACTTAATGATTATGGAATACCAATAGAAACCATAGAGGCAACAGCCCACAGAGAAATATTCGAGAAGCGCAATTAGTAGTGAAAAATGAAAAATTGATCAAAATACAAGAAAACTCATACTACTCAGAACAAGAATGGATAGCTACAGGATGCCCAGCTAAACAAGCAAAATACCTGATAACACTAGGATTGTTTATATTTAAATTAGAAAAAGAAAAACCAAAAATATTGAACCAGAAACATTGGGACCATGGCAAATATTCTCATTAAACCAAATTGAAGAACAACAACTGCCTTTAATACCAATGATCCAACATAACTTACATTACATATTCTACCAAATAAAAGACTACCTGGTATTACAAATGATTAACAGACTAAACTTTACAAAGGAAATCAAAGTAATGACAAACCAAAGAAAAATATACCCTGGAATATTCAAAGAAGTAGATTCAGAATTCGAACAAGAAAAACTGACAGAAATGAATGAGCAAGAACTAGAAAACCTGATGAAAGATAAAGAAAAGGTTACCTCCAAACAAATCCGAAGAGCAACAAAATTGAAACAAAAAGTACAAAAGGAAATAGCACCATTAAAACTAATAGAAAAACGGGTATTCAACCTAGAACAAATTTTAAAAAGATACAAATATCTATCTATATTTGAAAAGAAAGACCGACCAGAAGTCGCTACAATAATGGAACGATATCCCAGAGTAATTGACCTAAAAAAGTTACCAGATAAAATATTAAATAAAGTCAAACAACAATTGTATTATCATATATTGTTCTACAATGGAAACGGCGTAGCATATAGAATTAAAATACGACAAACACAAGATTACCAAGTTACACTTGTAACAATAAACTACTTGTTGAGCGAATATGAAAATCTGACTTTAATTTAGAAATTACTGGCAACACAAATCCGGCCACCTAATTGTTAACCATAGCCTACAAGTGAAGCTGAAAACTAAGTATTTACGATCTGCATACATACCAAAGTTCGCAGCTAAATTATATTTATTTATATTACATAAATTAATGAACGTATTCAAGCAAATTGCATTAACAGAAAAAAAGTGAAAGAAGCAAAAGCAAAATAAATTTGTAAATTTTATGAATTGCTATGATATAGCAAAAGGAAAAAAATTTCTACCAATTCAATTCAGTTAATTATTTAATATGTTTTTACTTAAATTATGCTCTTTTTTATTTATTTTTCTCTTTTTTATTTATCAGGCAGGAATAGCTTTCTTTATTTTTGCATCGCTTAATTGATTCAACCTGAACTCATATGTGTGCACCACTTTTAACTTGAACCATTGGATCAAGATCATGGTTAAGATCATAAAAAAAAAAAATAGCCAGGAGACAGATTTTAATCTTGTTGCATTATAGCAATCTTTGAATTTGTCTAAAGCAATTCATAAAGTTTGGTCTGCATTTTGATAATTAGGCTTTATAACTTCTAAAAATAAAAAAAATCAGAAATATCTATTTCTGTGGTTTCGATCATTTTATTTGGATCTCTGGGGTTAGTATAAAAGATTAACACTTCCAAACTCTTCTCTTGTAATTTAATAGCAAATAAACCAAAAACTTACTTATAAGTAACTAAACTATCGCTTAATGTTTCATTAATTAAGCAATTGCTTAATGTTTCATTAATAAAGCAATTGCTTATTAAACTATTGCTTAATGTTTTATTAATTAAATTATCACTTAATGTTTCGTTAATTAAATTATCACTTAATGTTTCATTAATTAAATTGTCACTTGATATTTTCATTTCTGTGTGTGTGTTTTTGTTTGCTAGTTGTGCATGTAATGATGCATATAATAATCTATTTTCAGAAATATAGCCTTACAAAAAAAAAATAAAATAAAAAAATAAATATTATTTTAAAAACATGATCATCTGCAGATAATAAAAAATATATTTAGACATTACTAAGATATATAAGATAAAATAAAATAAGTTTGTAGCCTAAAAAAAAATATTTTTACTTGTGCCATATAATTTACTTACCAAGTGCTATATAAGTCAATTATCTGGCCCTAATAATAGAACAAAATTAGCATTGAAATATGAAATTTTATTGAAACAGCCCCTTGGTGTTTACAAGAAGCATCAGACATTCCAACAGGGAATGAGCAGGCTTTGATTTCACTATTGTAAAACTTTGATTGAAAATATCTTTAACCAAATTCGATGAGCTTTTTTAAAATTATAGAAGTAGCAGAATTTAAGCAATAAAAAAGTTTATCAAATTTGTTTAGGCGAGTATTGAAATATTCGCATGGTTGAACTTTTTATTGAACTATAAGTGATTAAGATTAGATATAATTTATACATATTAGTAGCTGAAAAAGATGCATTGTTGTAAAAATAAATTAGAAACATTTGATTAATAATTTATAGCTAATGAACTTGTATCAGAGAAGCCTTAGAAGAATTTTCATAAATAAAAGATATATAATACTTTTACCGATGCAACTTACTTTAGTTATTAATTTTTCGTTTTGCATAATCATTTTCTATTTATTCTTTTTTTCCAATAAATTTATCTGGTGTTACTTTGTGGAATTACTCAAGGTCAGAAAAAAAAATTCAAATTAACATACAAGTTTTTTCATTTTTAAATTAGATATCTAGGATTTTTATGCAAAAGATCATCATTTTACTTAATCATCTGCAAAATTTTTTGACTTATGATACTAGATGCAAGATATTTCCGCATATAAAAAAATTAATTTACTTATTATGAATTAAAAGCATTATTAACAATTTTATTTCTAGTATATATTATAAAATGCATTCTTTTGCTAGCAGGGTTCTTAATTTTTAATTAATAGGAAATTGTTTAGCAATTAAGCGAGTTCGTTATCATGATGGTCTTAGTTATCCTCATATTGCAATAAAAATTATCAATTGATATAAGGATTACTTCATAGCGACAGCGATATTATTTAATAGATTATTAAAAAAAAATTAAGAATTGATAAAAGTATCACAACAGGCATCGCCTTTTTCTAAAAAAATAGAATACATAAAATATTAACATAAAGCTGGTTGGATTATCTAATTATTAATACTAATTTTCCAACGCTAGGTTACACGAGATCCATCATTTTGTCTTACTCATATGATAACAATAAGGTTTTACAACATTTTTTTTTTGATCTGTATATATACTATAGCGATAAACTCTGGCATTAATATTACGTATTAATTCTTATTTTTTTTTAAAAAAATGAATAAGTTACTGAATGAATGTTTTTTCAAAATATTTAATAACTTTCAGAATAATAAAGATTATAAAAATTTATTTTCATACCTTCTTGTAAACCATCAATGGTGCAGAATTATTATACCAATATTATAGAGCAGATCAATAGCTTATTCTTGCGATAAAAGACTTATAAAAATATATCTTTTAGCATTAAATGCTAAAGAACAATCGCTGCTGATCCCTTATAAAATTGTTCTTCCAAACTGTCCAAAACCGTTATTTGAGTATTCAAGTTACACTACATTTGTAGATGATAATTTGATCGAAGGTATTGAAAGTTGGCTTGATGATGAAGAATATGGAGCTAATGAATCTTGTAGATCTCGTTTAACTACTTCTTATTATTTCGAAAAAAATGAAGATTTTGTCATAAGAGCTGTTGAATGTTCTTTAGTTGCAATGTTTCTACGAACAAGTAAAAATCTTAAAGAATTACATTGTTGGGGAACTTTTATTAATAAAGTAATCTTCAAAAAACTTTCTACAAATATTACTATAATCTATTTATCATTCGACGAGATTTTTTTTAATTCTGAGAAAATAGATAACTTAGTAGAAGTTATTAGCAAGAACTTTACGATTACTTCATTAGATCTTTCAGATAATTGTCTTAGTTTTGAGGAAGTGAAAGCACTAGTGGAAGCTATTAATATGAATATTACTCTAACTTCTTTGCATTTTAAAGAAAGTCGGTCTGATTTAAGGTGCTTAGAAGCATTATTAGAGGGTCTTTATAAAAATTCAACTCTGACTT